AGTACTATGAGGTCTTTAAGGTAAGATGAGGGCTGATTATTCAAGACTTTGTATGTGAGGATTTTAATTTTAATTTAACAGGAAGCAAATGAAGAGAAGCCAATATGGGAGGAACGCGCCCTCTATTTTCAGTCCCTTTCAAAAAGAGAAACATACTTATTCCATATTGAGTTATCTTCTCAGCAGAAGATGTTATTGTTGTTATAAGTTAAAAGAAAAAATCATCTTTTTCAGTCTTCCAGAAAACCACATTGTTGTCACACATTCTTTGATCATGACTGCACAGAATTGAGATTGAAAGTGCATTTAATGTATACAATATTCAGTACGCCTGAATAGTTGCAGTTAACTGAGTTCTTGATTTGCTCATCTGTCTCTGACAGAAGACTCAGGCCAGACATAACCAATCATTTCAATATATCTTTCGCATACGGCTCTATGAAACCACAGCTATTGCCCCCTGGTGGCCGTAGTAAACTGTATCGTGTTGGTGTTAAGGCATTCAACTTTTATCCTGTCTACAGTGGCAGCCCCAATAATCACATGAACCCACTCTGTTGGCCTTTAAGCCCGAATTCTCTGTATTAGCTGTTGGATACCAGTGCTGCTGCTCTATGATTTGATCACTCAGCACAAAAATGTAATTGTCATTTGCTGATTTGGTATTACCTTGAGTTCATATTTGCTGTCACTGCCACAGAGAGTGTTGCTGTCATTGAGCCTCACACCCTGGCTAGTAGCAATGTCTTGCTTTTGTGAGGGAAAGCTAACCTTAAATCAGCAGTAGCTAAAAATCTTCAGGTTCAGTTTGCTGTTCCACTCTCGACACTGCCACAGCATTTATTTATTTTTATTCCCAGAGTAACAATTTACAGACAGAAAAGTTCCAGAATGTCATTCTACACCGAGCCGGCAAACAGCACACTGAAAGAGTTAAAGACTGGCTGTTGTGAACATCGTGGAGCATTTATAGGTAAAATTTCTGTGCACATAAGAATTTGATAAAACAAACAGTTTGATCACCTGCTAACTCAAAGCATTCTTTTTCATTTTAGAGGCAGCTGGTTCGATGAACACCGCACAAGATAGAGCTGAAAGTTCTTTATCAGTTAGTAAGTGCCTCTGTGTGCTTTGACACAGATCAGATTATGTCATAGCACGGGGACAACGAGTCACCCTGTGGGTTTGATAAGGAGTCTGCAGTCCTTTGCAGGAGGACTTCAACAAATCCTCTAAAGACATTAGCCTTGAGCGTGTGGGTCCTTATCAATAGGCTGTCATCAGTAAATTGCTTAGCTAGTTACCACAGCGTCAACCTTTGTGCACACATGGCAACTAGAGTGTGCATGCATAGGACTAATTAATCTGCTGACATCTTGGCCAGAGGTCAGAGAAGAACAACAGCAGTATACTGTTGTTGTTGTTTTGTTTATACAGCCATTATCTGTTTTCTAGCTTCATGGGATGGCAATGACTCGTCTATGAAGCACTGATGTCCCCCAAAGCACAGCCAATCTCAAATCTTCACTGTACTCAAAATGAAGGAAAAAGTTATGCCTTTGCTTGAATATTTTATTCAAAAAACATAAACAACACAGGCTGTTGGTTACAAACAGCTAATGCTACCCAGTCATAATGCCAATGCTGTGGTTGGCTTTGACATGTCATTATCATAATTCAAGCCAATCTTGTTATTGTATGTGGCAATAATATTAATAATAAAGTAATAATAATAGAACAATCCAATGACACACTATTGGCTGACACAGCATTTTGGAAACCCCGAGCTACAGAAGAGTTAGATTTACCATTTAGTAAGTATGAATATTTAATGACATCTATTGCTTATCACAGTCTATTATAACTGACTCCACTTTCCCTATAGAAAATAATAAAGTGAGAAAATGGGTTTTATTTATATATTATTTCTTTATTTACACATTTATTTATAAATATACATAATCACTGTAAATGGAGAAAACTGTAGGAAGCAAAAATAATGCATCTTGCAGAATAAATAACATTACATTTTAAATGAGAAGGTTTGTTTTCAATCTTTATATTATGATGATTATGACAATTCTACGTGAAACTGGTGTAAAGCAATTTCCATATATTAGACTGGATAATCTTTATTGTCTACCTATCTATGAAGGGAGACAAACTCTGCTTTGTTTTTCAGAAAACAGTGAATGCATAATTAGCTGGAGCGCTGGCAACTGTTTATTGCTGAGTTGTGATGCGTTCATCTAGACTTGGGGGGAG